AGTTACCACCCACGGTGCAGCGATGTCGTTGGTGGGGAAGAGGTTCCTGGTGGAAAAGTACTTCTTCTTCTTCCCATTCTTCTTCTTCTTCTTCCCGAGTCCCAAACTTTTATACAGTTCTTGCCCACTGCCCCCCCCCCCCCCCCCCCCCACCCTGGGGGAGAGGGAATCAAACCCTTAATAATGTTGAAAAAGAAAATTTTTGCTCTGTGTTTGATGGTAGCAGTGAATTTAGAGAACAAACTGCAGTGCACCAGTAGCACATACTAGATTTCACTAGTGAGCCAGTGCTCTTACCCTTTTTGCTTCCAGGGCCACAGGAAGTAGTTTTGGTGACTTAAAAATACGAATAATGAGTGCAAAGCAGGTTAAATCCTAAGAGTTTAATAATTCAGCTAGCTGCCCTGTCTGTTGTGCCCCCTTCCAGCAATGACAGTTTCTTCGTTTGTTTGCTGAAACCCGTCAGACTATTTCCTAAGCTGCCTGGATTCCCTTCTTACAGTGATAAACTAAGATGGAGCCAGTAGCTCCTGCCTGCAGAAGAGCGTTCAGGAGCCCAGCTATACTCACTGCCATTCCCTGCCCAGCCTCTGGCACCGGCGAGGTTTTGTGCTCTGCCTGGCAGGCAAGAGCTCTTGCCGCAGTCACCCAGCCTGCTCTTCTCCAGAGCAGCTTCCCCCTCTGCAGGCGGTGCGGGGCCGCTGCGCTCCCAGCAGCGCGGCACATGGGGAGGCAGGGCTGTGGCTGCCCAGCGGGCACCCAGAGCCGGCACTGGCAGGCATACTCCGGGCTTCTCAGTCCGTAATTCACATTTATGAAGGTGTTTCCTTCTCTGTATAGGTTCAAGGTGCAAGTTTCCGGGGCTGGAAGGAGGTGACATCTATGTTCAATAAAGATGATGAGCAGCAATTGCTAGCGGGATGCAAGTCTCCCAAATCCAAAGGGTGAGTAAAACCAGGTGCTCTGTCTGCTATTAAAATACAGAACCTGGGAAGGGAAGATGGACCGCTCCCCACAGCTGTGCAAAGTAGTGCAGGTAGACACTGAGAAGCAGTGGTGTTCAACTCCTGGGAGTTAAATTGCTTGGTTAAAGTCCTAAATAGTTCAAATACAGGCTAAAGTACTTAATACATTTCCAAAGGCAGTTCTGTGTAATTCATTTTGGGGGGAAGTGTAACTTATTTTATAGAATCATAGAATCATAGGGGCTGGAAGGGACCTCGAGAGATCATCTAGTCCAACCCCCCTGCCAGAGCAGGGTCACCTAGAGTACATCACATAGGAACTCATCCAGGTGGGTTTTGAATGTCTATTATGTACATTTACTATTATTCCAGGTTTGGCATTTAAGGGCAGTTTACATGGTTACACTGTACATATTTGTCCTGAGATTCAACTGTTGCAAAGAAGTGGCAAAACTACTGACCACACACTTCACTCAGAAGCTTAACTATAACAAGCACAAAAAACCAAATACTTCTTGTAACTGAAGAGAGAAAGCTGCATGCAAAATTTTCTCTGGCAAAGCAGGAATTGTCAGAAGTGAAAAATCCATAGTAACACGGTTTTTCTTTGCAGGGTGAAAATTTTCTTCTTCTCCTCCATTAAGGCGCATAACATGAGCAGAGTGCCTTCTGAGAAGCTTCTGTCTCTGCCACACGAAGGCATGTCAGAGTCAAGGGGAAAAAGTTAACATGTTGTGACTTGCACAACAAGAGCTAAGAAAATGAAATGTAATCAATATCAACACAAGCTCTAGAAAGACATGACTGAATGAATACCTCATGGCTACTGCAGCCACAGATCCTGATTTCTAACAGGTTTAAAGTGCAATTAATTAGAAAAATCAAACTAACATACAAGAAATCACCTATAAAAAGCATAACAACTGTGTTTTTAAGCATTCTATAAATGCTACGTATATTGTATATAGAACGGGATGGAATGAAGGTCTCCACAAAATCAAAGCAGCTGTCCTAACAACTCAGCTCCCCTGAGTAAAATTCAGTACACTTCACCTTGTGCTTTTCTCTAGCAAAGGAAAAAACAGCTGCTTTCTTATGTTTCTATACTGAAAATGTTTGTATTTTATACAAAACAACTTAATAAATGCAACACAAAAATACTTCTTATGGTAACTATTTTGCAAATGAATTCTTACACAAAACACTGCTCTACAGTTATTGTAGAAAGCCCATTCCCAGTGGAGATTACAGAAGTTAATTCCTATGACAATTAAGATAGAGTTTTAGGAAAACACTAAGGTTTATTGGTTTGGTTTTACCTTGTCGAGGGAATTGCTCTTCTCACTGTGTCTTTCTGGGAGACTGTTTCCTGAGTCTGTACTTATAAGAGAGCCCCTTGAGTCAGCATTCCTCACACTGTTAATATTTGGAGTTGACACAGTGTATGGGGAAGCTAAAAAACCAAAAATATAAAAGTCTCAAGCTATATGTATACTGAAAAAAGTCACTCCATAGTTTAGTCAGACTTTTTAAACAAGCATACATGTGTATAACTTTTTAGAAGGCAAACAGTTAACTCCATTTAGTTACTTTTAATGAGACAAACTAATTCTATAGTTTCAAAGTAATTAGGTATGTACATACACACAAACTTAGGTACAATTACATACGCACGTGTATAACACATATGTAACAATGCATACACACTTATCATAGAATCCTAGGGGTTGGAAGGGACCTCGAAAGATCATCTAGTCCAACCCCCCCCTGCCAGAGCAGGGTCACCTAGAGTACATCACACAGGAACTCATCCAGGTGGGTTTTGAATGTCTCCAGTGAGGGAGACTCCACAACCTCCCTGGGCAGTCTGTTCCAGTGCTCTGTCACTCTTACAGTAAAAAAATTTTTTCGGATATTCACCTTGAACCTCCTATGCTCCAATTTACACCCATTACCCCTTGTCCTATCACTGGTCATCACTGAGAAAAGCCTAACTCCGTCCCCCTGACACTCACCCCTTACATATTTGTAAACATTGATGAGGTCACTCCTCAGTCTCCTTTTCTCCAAGCTAAAGAGACCCAGCTCCCTCAACCTTTCCTCATAAGGGAGATGTTCCACTCCCTTAATCATCTTCGTAGCTCTGCGCTGGACTCTTTCAAGCAGTTCCCTGTCCTTTTTTAACTGAGAGGCCCAGAACTGGACACAATACTCCAGATGTGGCCTCACCAATGCAGAATAGAGGGGGAGGAGAACCTCTCTTGACCTACTAACCACACCCTTTCTAATGCACCCCAGGATGCCATTGGCCTTCTTGGCCACAAGGGCACATTGCTGGCTCATGGTCATCCTCCTGTCTACCAGGACCCCCAGGTCTCTTTCACCTACACTACTCTCCAGCAGTTCAGCCCCCAACCTGTACTGGGACATGGTGTTGTTCTTCCCCAAATGTAAAACTCTGCACTTCCCCTTGTTGAATTTCATCATGTTTCTCCCCGCCCAACTCTCCAACCTATCTAAGTCTCTCTGAATGGCAGCACAGCCTTCTGGTGTGTCAGCCACTCCTCCCAGCTTAGTGTCATCAGCAAACTTGCTGAGGGTACATTCTATACCCTCATCCAGGTCGTTGATGAAGAGGTTGAACAACACCGGTTCCAGTACCGACCCCTGTGGGACTCCACATTTTATAGTAGAAAATGGCCATACTCAGTCCACTTTGATTTACCTGTGTTTAGGCTTGCATGTATACAAGGGTGTTTTTCCAAAGTTGAGAATAATGGATATGCTGCCCTAGGCTGACAACTGACTAGTGTTTCTTACTATAAAATGTAGTAAATTAATTAAATTATTATGAGCGACTATCACATGGATTGTTAAATGAAGACATTAATCAGTTGATCATTGTTATTTTCTAGAACAAACCTAAAGTTAAAGGAAGAGATGAAGTCTGAAAAGAAACCAGGTTTTTGGGACAGTTTGGTGATCAAGCAGAATGTCCCATCTAGGAAACCAGATGAGATTGAGGGGTGGGAACCACCACAGATTGCCACTGCTGACTCTACCAGTGATGCAGCAGCTACTTTAAGTGACTATACAGCCTGGTCAGGCTGGGAAGATGAAACCAAAGGCTCCACAAAATACACAAACCTGGCCAGCTCAGGAAACAGCTCCAGGTGGAGTATCAAATCAGCTGGAAAGCTGGTTAGTATTAGACGTCAAAGCAAAGGTAACCTTACTGACAACTGGGAAGAACTGGAATGATATTGGTAATGTGAATTACTTTATCGAGATAAAGAGAGAGGTTCCATGATTTACTCATATGTTTAAACCAAAATCAAATCTGCTAAATATTGCACCTTTATACAGTACTTTGTTTTATTCAGATTGTTACAAATTTTTGCTCACCTGATAGTAAATTTTCTTATTACATTGTTAAATAGCTACATTTTCCACACTGAAAAAAAAAAAAAAAAAGTAGAGAATCTATTTTGTGCCTATATTTCACATTCAGACTCTGCAGTATGTTGGATTGTTGGTTTTACCAAAAAATAGATATATATAATTCCTTACTGAATGTATACACTGGTTGTAAATTTGACTGCCTTATGTAGGAACTTCCACTAGCTTGAAGTCTTGAATTTTTTGTCATATGTGAGAGCCATTCAAAATTTCAGTTTTGCTGCTGTCCCTTTTTAACTAAGAATACTGATCTGTGGCTTGCAGGGAGAGTGCTTATACTTAATAGACTTGTTTTCCATATCTTCAACCTCAGCATATTCTTCAGCTTGTGCACACAACATGCTCAACTGTCACAATGTGCTATACTGTGGATGAATGGGAAAATACTATTCTAATATAATTTCTTCCATCACCAATAGTCAGGTTAGTCAGGTCAACTGACACTGAAAGAATTTTTGGTTGTTTTGTTTTTGTTTTGTTTTGTTTTTTTTTATACTGAATGTTGTTTGGCAAAGCTAAGCTTCCCAGTCTTTGAGATGCATGCTATGACAAACATAAAAATTATTGAAAATTTGGAAAGCAGCAGTGAGTAAAGTATAAGATCATCTCAGTATTCAATAGCTGTAGTCCTGAACCTAGGGATAAGTTGCTTCTTATGGAAGGGCATATGTTTTCATTTTTACAGTAGCTGATCCTTGTTCTACAAACAACTTTTTGTTCTGTACTGTGGTCTTTGTTCTCCCTCTGCCCCATAAGCAGTGATTGAGTTATACTTTGCCATTTCCAGGGTATCTGAGTACCTGAGCCATTGCAAGTATGTGCATGCACACAACTTCTGAAGCGTTTTTGTTATAAAGCTCTGTCTTACTAGCTACTGATACTTTTTTTTTTTTTAGTAAAAGAAGGTGTAGTGTTAAACTTGAGATTTGAAATGTATATAAGAATACTAAAAGTGCCTCTTTCTAGCATATTGTCTTTCATTAGCAGTACAGCTGATGTCAGATCCAAAGTTGGTGTCCATTTTGTTTATATGACCTATATAAATACTAATTTAACATTCATGGAAAAAATCAAACCAAAAGTTTCATAATAAATGAACAGTAGGCCTTTTCTCTCCTGATTGTTAAACTGGTATAACAGAACTGAAGACTTGTTGACTGCCTAGCAACATGGCCAGTACAGTCGGAAGATCAAAGTTAACATTTCAGAGAAAATCAGCATTTTTACAAGAAAGTGTATACCTTGAGGTAATGGATGTCTTTGAAACATATTTTTGCAAGAAGCTTATGCTGATGAAAAGGGATGCATGCCATTTCTTTCTAAGCTTGTACCTTGTTTCTCTTACTGTCACATTACTCTTTCTTAGCTCTCTCTTTCTCCTCTCTCCTTGAACTCACATATGGTTTTCTGGCTTACAGTTCCTGCATAGTTATTTTTTGGAGATTCATTTTGAGATGTGCCTGGAGGGAAACTGTAGCAAAATGTTTTCGGTTGTTTGTTTTTTTGTTTGGTTGGTTTTTTTATTAATAGGATGTTAAAAGATATTGTTCTTAAGTTTATACAAAAGAAAATCAAAGTTTTGTGCTACAAAACAGGATCTTGTAAATGTTTTTATAAAATTGGCATTATATAATAAAAAAAGTACTAATAGAGGAAAAAGGATTAGCATTTATATTGTATCATTTAGTCTGTGAGTAAACTCTGTATTTGCCTTTGGCAAGTACATATGCTGAGGTTAATTCTAGGAAAGACTAGTATTCTTGGGTAAAGTATGCTGCATTTTATAGTTTATGGAGTACCCTCTAAGGCATGAGCTAGTATTTAGTTTGGTTGTTGGTGCTGACCCAAAAGAATGGAAAAAGATCTTTAAGCAGCCTGCAATATTTTGCTCTCAAAGCTGGGCTGAGAACTTTTAATTTCCCTCCTGAAGAAACTATTTATACTGTGACCAGTAAAGGTTTTGCCTTGCACATTATACTGTCAAGTGCCTGTTTCTCACCCTGATGTGTTTGATGCACAGCTTCATTGCAACATTTTTTCAATATTTTTTTTTTAAATGGATGATAAAGAGTATGTCCACAGAGCTGAAGCCTATTATAAAACAAAATTACATCCAAGTGGGAAATTGAGATATATAAATGTAAAGTTTAACTCCTGGTGATGTAAATTTTGGTGTGCTTTTTAAGTGATATTTCCTCAGAAATAACCATTCTAAGGATGAACATTATTAAATTTAATATAATTTATTGTTATGCTTTAATAATGTATTTGTCTTTTGAAAACTCACTGGTGTGAGGGGTTTTTTCTCTTATGTTTATTAACTTGTCTGAATTTTCAGAATGGGGCCCTCTTTTCTTTTACCTTCTTTAGATTCTTAGCTACATGATACATTTACGGGCTTAAAGCTATACATAGCTCCATATGTGGAATAAGTGTAGAATATGTCCCTAAATATTTCTTTTGAAATTGCATTTCAATCTATGTGAAATGGTTTAGAAGAAGGTAGCATCAAGACTGTATGATAAGATTGCACAAAATAGAAGGTAGTTTATATTGCTTTCTCGTAGCCAACCTGCATGATTCTTGGCGTGGTTTTAACGGGATTTAAAAGCTTCATGTGGCTGTAACTAGTCACTTAACTCTAAGCAAAGTTCTTTCTGAGTATTTTTATTTATTAGCATCATTTGCAAAAAGAAAATAGTATTTTCCATATGAATAAAGATTTAGTTTGAACTGAAATGCCTTACTCTATGTTTATTATTATTTTTTGTTGTCCTATTTTGTCACGTGAATTTGATTCCTTGTGGATGTTACTTGCATCATTGTAGAATATGGCCAAGTCAGTGAGAGCTGTACTGGTCCCAGCTGATTGAATCATGCTGTGCCAGAAACTGCAACATCCTAGATTTAAAGCATTTGCAAGGGGAAGAATTCATTGGTTTGACAAACTGCAAATATTTTGTTTTACTGGTGTTTATTGGTTCAAATCTTTATTTATTTATTTTTAAAATTTATTGGCTGTTAAGAAAGCTTGGGCAGAGCAGCATTCTTTC